GCCATGTTGGAGAAGGACGAGGAGGGGTGGGTGCCCGAGGCGGCGGTGCTGCCGGCGCAGAAGCTGCCCTGCAGGGGGCCCAGGGCCGGGAAGGCCGCTTTGGTGCTGGCCGAGTACAGGGCCGCGCGGGCGCCCATCCGCTCCGGGGCCGAGTCACCCTGGCGCCGTCGCCCGGGAAATGCCTCCCTGTCCACTCTGCCTTCAGGCTGCCGCTCTTCCCTTAGAGGGGGCTTGCTGGTCGCGCCCCCCGGCGCTCCCCTCGGGGTGGGGCCGGGCCCGGGGGTCACCTGTAGATCATGCCGGGGGAGCCAGTCTGCCGCAGGGAGAGCCGCGCCGGGGAGCCTGTGGTGGACTCTGGGTACATGGGGCCGGCTACTGGCCACGGCCTGCTCTCTTCCTCTCGGAGCGGAGATCCTGGAGAGAAGCAGAGGAGGGGGCGGTTACAGGGGAGGTGGCCCGGGCGCCAGGGCGCCCGTCTGTGAAGCCCAGAGCACAGCAGGCCCGCGGCCCGCCTCACAGGTCTGTGCCCACCCCCGCTGTTTCCGAGGGCTGGGAGGCGGTTCCTCCTCGCTCAGACCACAGGGCGTCTGGACTCGGCTCTGGGGGGTCGGCCCACCGCAGGAGGGGTCAGCACCGTCGCCCGGGCATCACCCTCGCCGCCTCCGGCCGAGTGCGATCACTGTGGCTGGCTGGGCCACTTGTCGGGTGTCCCAGGACCCCCTCCTCGGAGTCCCACGCCAGCCCACAGTCTGGGCCTCGCTTGCAGGGGCCCTCGGCCCGTGGGGGCGACATGCCGTTCTGGGCCCCGTGGCCCAGGCCCCAGGCTTAGGCCAGACCCCGCCCGACCACAGGCGGAGGGGACCCGGGAGAGCTGTGCCCGGGCCTGACCCAGAAACCGAGCAGGATGAGCCTCCGTCTCCGAGTCTGCAGAGGCGCCTCACAGCAACAGACCCCAGCACCGTGTCGCGCCAGCGGGGCCGGCCAGGCATCTGCAGGCCCACGTGGCCTGCTGCGCACCCCCTGGCTCTCACAGGGCCCCCTGCTGACCTGCGTGGGCGGCCACCGTCTCCCACGCTCTGCTGGGGGAGGGGGTGCCCTGAGCAGATCCCACAATGTTTATGGACCCCACCCCCGCCCCGGCCCGAGGACGGCGGACCCCAGGCAGCCGTCACCCCGACGGAGGAGCCGGGGGCTGCGGGTGGGCCTGGGGGTGTCCTTGGTTTCTCGGGGCTTTCAGGGGGCACTGGGCCCCGGCTCAGCAGAAC